TCGAAAACTTTGCTGCTATGGAAACTACAGGTTAGAGGTTCTATATGAAAGTGGTGTCTAAGGCTTTTGTGGTGTAATGGCAAGTGGCGCACTATACCACACGCACGGTCTGGGCTTCGAATCTCGCCTAGGTCAACCAAACCTTCCACCCCTCCGAAGACGGTGAATAGGTACCATACTCGTCTGGGATGTTCAAAGCAGTGACTTGTACACCGGCTGCCACCACAAGTCATTTTATAGGCTACATACGCACCCATTACGCCACTACGATTTTGAATGAAAGTTGAGTGCGGGGGTGCATCCCTTAGACAGGGTTGGTAAAGCCAAAAACTCTATCCTTTATTCTTATATGAAAGTCTCAATTTATTGTGGAACGCAACCAATAAGCTTCAGTGAGCATTAAAAGAATACATTGCCATTTGTGGGTCACTAGGTGCCTGGATCCTCTAGCTTAGAATGAAGCCAACCCCATATGGGTTATTTCTTGATATAGATGACCGTGAATGAGCTATAGGAATTCGTAGCAGTTCTCGAGGTTGAGGCCTTACATGTGCATCCTTATCCTCATATGCACCACCATGAATTTTAAGGGTAATGTGTCACCTGGACCTCAGAACTCTCATAAACACAGCTACGACGACAGTAATCATCTTCCGCCTTCCTGTTAGAAGCTGTTTTTAAAAGGCTAGATTTGCAACGCTGTCGTGTAACGAAGTTCAGAACAAAACCAGTTCCAGACGCTGATTTCAGCACAGGCAATAATTTCCCGAGGCCACCCTTTTTTCTGCAGAAAACGACGTTTACGTTGGTACAAGATGCGTCTGAGAGTCCAAAAGCAATGTTTCTAATTTCGGGTGGCCTCCTTGATGTCATTGCATATATCCAGAATAGGTATTCGGTAAGACACCAAAACTCGAAGGAGTGGAATGCGGAGGCTCGCCACGAGGATTAACGAATTTTTCTTCAAGTAATCCATGCACATCCTAACCATGAACTTATTTTTCAAGAGTATCGATCCTTACTGTATACAAAGATCAGTTGAAATGAGAGAATTTCTCTCCGGTGCAGCTTCTCGTGACAGTGATACTCTGTGTTATGCATGTGTATCAATCTGACATGAATGTTGAAGCTTTTGCTTGTTATTTGTCAGGTGGAATTCTTAACTATTTACTGTATACTGTCATTTTCAGGAGTGCTTGGAAATGAAGCTGAATCACGGCCAACTTTTGCTCACATATGGAATAAAATTACACTACGTTAAAGTTTCAAGCCTTTCGCTGTCATCCGCACATCGTCCGAACACAAGGAATTTCGCAGTGATGCTTTCGAAGTTACTGGAATATTTAATGGAGCTCACATTGTTTTGCATTGAAGCAACACATATCCCTTTATTTATGTACAAATCTTGTAATAGCCGTAGTTTCCGACTCCGGAAAAAAACAATGAAAATCATCGCACCATAAAGATCTTCGAGGTTTCGAGCAGTCATGATTTCTCTGTATACTCACGAGTTTCAAAAAGTACTCGCTAGACTGGTCAACCAGTCGTTTAATAAGGATATAGGTCAGAGAAGCACTTGCCACTCCCAAGGCATGCGCTTTTTCTTTAATTTTTTCTCCTTCAGCTGTACCCGACCCCGAAAAATGAACGTCATAAGAGATAATCTTCGCATAGCTGCTCCAGTCCGTGTTGGAGACCACTGATTTTCAACATCTTCAAGTACATGGGCGACTTGTCATTCCTGCCCACTATGGTAAGCGTACTTTCGAATAAATCAGCCTTTTGCATCCACTCCTTACCATAAGAGCTTAGGGCATGTACAGGTCTCTGGTGTTACTTGAAAACTTCCCATTCGTAGTGAAGAATCATCAGAATCATAAACTTGAAAAGGAGGTTTAAATCAGCCATCATCATAATGCCTACGTCGACAAAAAGTATTTATTTGTTTGTTTATTTATTTATTTACTCTGCCAGCTGTGGAGAGTAAGAAGAGGTAAAAAGGAGATCAGTGTTTCCATGGTATCCTGGATCTGTCATAATACTTCTGTGAAGTGAACTAGAGGCAGTTTCAAATTATTCACGAATTATTTACGCATTTGTGTGAAGATCCGGATACGGATGCAAAATTGTTGATCATTGGACTGTATAACGTCACTCGAAGCATTTGTCTGTTCAAAACAGGCCCGCTATTGAATTAACATCCGATAATTCTACTGGATTTGAGCATGCAACGGTGCGAGTGCTTATCCATCGTCAGCGTTGTTTGAGACCTTGCTGTAGCTGAGATAATTGAGAGGAACTTGAAATCTTTTTGAAAACAGGCTACTGTAGAGATGTAATTTGACATGTTTTGGCCGACACAAGTAATTTTAGAGGTCCCGTGAGCTCGTGAATCAGTAATCCCTTCACTCCCCACCGTGGACCTCACCAAAAGTACCTTTCTGCCTGTTTGGAGGCGCTTGGGCGTGTCTACTGTATAACATATTGACGGAACTTCAAAAGGAACTTCAAAATCCGTCTTGTCTGGTTGACCAGGCCACAGAGTACTGAGGATTTTTTGTGGCCCAAAGTTGGGAATCCAAGATCTCTAAGACTCCAGTTCTGTTGTATTTATATCGTAGGCCACCATGATGAGGTCGCATTCCCCCCAGTAGCAATTCATTTCTGATTAAACCGACTTCATATCCATTTTCCAAAGTTTTCATGCTTTCGAAAAGTCAGTAGGGAGGGGGCTAGGTAGGAAGCAATTCTTGGTGACTTGGATCCGAATCAAGTTGCGATGAAATAATTAGATTGTTAATCGAAAACTTTGCGCTGATAATTCCTTCCTTCTCTAGAGTGAATACAGTTCCCATGATTGAAAAGTTCTACCCCACTCATTACTCACCCCTGCACCCTGGTGCGAGAAAGTGTAAACATGGGTCAGGATAGATGATTGCATTTATTTGCCCCGTAGAGTTTCTATCAAGACCTCGTCAAGCTCTAATAACCTCAATGCGATTAATTTGCCTAGTTGCGGTGCAGCGTTAATTTCAGTTAACGGCGCATTTCAGCAAATGGACTCAACATTCAACTTTGTGTCTAGTTCCTGCTAAAGCAGCTGAACGGTCAAAGATGGTAGTTAATATCAGCGCAACTTAGCGGACGCGTTCAGGGAAAGGTAAATAATTAAGTTTCCGGCCTACGACGCGATCTTCATAATTTTTCCATAACCACATCATAAGCATATCCCCATGATTTTTTCGAGCTTGAGAAAGTTTGAAAGGTGATTGGCCCCAGTTCAATTGCCTACTAAGGCGACGGTTCCAAAGAACATAATACCGGACGCCTTCTCGTTGTTGAGTGTAATGAAGCCCTGCAATAACCAAGCCATTTATTTCTTCATGTACATGGGCAAAACAAATATTTACAAATAATCCATGTCATGAATGTTGATCGGTCTACATGTCAATCAAACTTGCAACTTTGGTTAGTCGGGAATCTGTGCTGTATGGATGGGTATCACGCAAGGGGTTACACTCGTTGGTACGGTATTAGCACAGTACTTACATACGATTAGCAAAAGTAGAAAAGTCGACAGTTTATAGGCACAATTCACAATATTTTGAGGTGTCCTCTTTGAGTTGAAAAGCGGGTGTTGTAGTAGTGCATCAGTGGCGAAGAAAATGAGAAAATCCGCTCACGTTGCGAAAAAAAAAGGCTCCCCACAGTAGTGATAAGAGAGGAGTAACGAGATTTCCAGAACGGAAATGGCATAAAAGGGTTGTTGCAATCGCATGAAGAGCTGACTACATTGAACCAAAAATGTCCAAAACTACCTTCCAGTGCCGCCATGGGTCACGACAAGCTATTTGAGCTGCCAATCTGGGAATCTCTCGAGATGGGCAATGTCCGTTTGCGTACCCGTTTGAAACTTGGCCACCCCGGCTCATCCCAGAGACCTGTGCAACGGGCAACCGGCAGTCGAGACCACTTCCACTCCCAATTCACTAGTAGAGAGAGCAAGAGCGACTTAAAATGCGGCAATCTTGCACTTTTAGCCTGAGCGTAGCCTTGTGGGTGAGCGCCAACCCACTCGGTGCCTTGGTTTCCATTTTTCCGAAGATGATTTCCGCGCAATAGCGAGCCACTGCTCCTCAATTGTGATTCTTCATTTTGCGAAATTCCCATCTTGAGCTGCCAGTTTGTCTCGACCTCAGAAGCTTATAGTTGAAGGACGGTTTTCTTGCCCAGTCTTTTACTGCACATTGGAAATAGGCAGCGCTAGGAAGTCGATGAAAAGCTGAAATTTGATGGAAAGTTAATAGAGAAGTCTAGGAATGTTGATTGATGTAGCCAGTAAAGCTTTAAGTCAGTGAATTAGCTGAGAAAAAAATGTTGAAAATCTAAAAACTGGTGAAAAAGTTGAAACAGCAGGGTGGATATGACCGGCGGTTGGAATTCTGGCAGATGGAGAACAGGGACGGTTGATCGTTGCAAGTGTGGCTGGAAGAGGGTCAAGCGTTACGGCTGAAAATTTAGGGCTGGCCAGGAAAATCGGAGTATACTCGGTAACCTCCATTAGTGGTTTAAGCCTCCTTGAGATAGTGCCTTACAACCCAGCTGGCACTCGTCCATTAAGGTGTGGGACTCAACCGATACAGCTTCTAACTCCTTACACCGAACTCTCTGGGCTCTTTACTATACTGAGAGCGCCACCCATGGTACATTGGAACGCCACAGATTTATCACAGGGATATCTCAGAGACCACTCGTTATCGTGAACTATGCCCTACATGAAAATAATACACAGAAATTGCACGCCAACAGGAAGATTCCAAATGAAAAGTGCAGGGTTTTGTGACAGAGCTACACCACAACCAAAGTAAATAAGTGAAACCGTGATTCACTGTCAATGACAAGCGTAATAACAGCAAGTCCGATAACAAACGCTTCAGGTAGGTGAGATCTGCATTATTGGGAAATCTATGGCAGATGTACTGTCTGCCCGACGAATGAAGTTAATAAGTGACGGTACTGCTGCGTCGACGAGTTTGTCTTTGAAACAACGTTGATACCGTACTGGTATGTTGGACGCGTTGTTTATAATTCAGACAAAAGATCTGATTCAGAATGGTTTGTCTGATTTCTCGATGAGCCATAGCAAATATGAATGCATGGGAGAGCCCAGACAACGTGGCGCAAGTGCCGACAAAGAACGAGATCTCGTCTAGTACCTGAAAACAATTGATGCTTCAGGCTTGTGAGAAAAATCTATCATTTCATCTCTCATCATGTTTTTGCACCTTGATTTGTTACAGTCTACTGCCCATGATAAGCTCTATCATATCGAAATTCAAACTATTTTGGTAAGCAGTTGCCAAAAAACTAATATTATTGCAAACACAACTCACCGGCAGATATACGAAGAGTCCAAGGCCGTTTAAGCATCCTGGCACAACACCCATCAAGGCTGATACAAGTAAGATATATATCGCCACACGATTGGCCTAGAAAGGTTTATATTTAGCTTTACTTTCATTTTGGTTCCAGGGCATAATTGAGGGTATATTCAGTTCACGATAGTTTTGAAGTACCCAGTTCAGATGGAATTGGTCTAATATAATGCAAAAGTGACGAAGAAAATGCGAAAAATGGCGTATTCTAAAGCATAGGGCTTCGAGAGAGCAGTGTAATCATGGGTTGGACGAGAATGTGACGTGCATGGAAGGAGTTTCTGTACGAGCTGTCCAAATAAGTGGGGCACTGCGCCGCGCCGTATGCTGCCTGCGTGCAACGTGTGCGTCTAGCTGTGTATGGTGCAACTTCTACAGCCTCTAAAACGCCACGAGAACTCGGCCGCATTGGATGTGTGACTAAGCTGACTTTGAGCTTGAGTCTTATCTGATCCGATCTTTGACATTACATCGTCCCTTGCGCTATTTTTGAGGGCCGGAAACCATATCATGGAGCAATCTCGGGATCCTTTTTTTTTGGATTGTGACTTCGAAATGATTTATTTTGAGGTAGCAATATTAGACATGATATACTGAATAAACATCTGCTGTTGTAGTAAGGCTGAAAAATGATTTACATTATTCATGGCAAGCCTGTTAGTCATCTATATATTGGCTTCTCCGGTCGTTAGATGACTGAAACACTGTGACCGAAAGATTTCTCGATTCCGGTTTTCGAACTTTTTCACTTGAACAATATCAAAATATGCGTGGTGGTTGGTACAAGATCCTTCCTTATCTTTAACAAGACTACTAATATCAAAAGTGCCAGGCTGACATCTTCAATAGTAACGGCTTATTTCATTATTGGGACCTCCGAGCTTTGAAGTGGGGTCAATAGACGAGATTTTCAAAGTACAATATTATCGATGCTTCTTCTGTTATGCGGTCTACCTAAGCCTCAATAAAATGCTATTATCCGTGATCAAGCTAGAGTTCACCTTCACCGTAGTAAAAGAACCGAAAGTCAAGAAATTGACTAATTTTTTTCACGAAAATGCCTTCTGTGCACCCAAAAATAGCCTTCGTGTTGTTGTTCTATTGCAGCCAAAGCAATTATTATTGTATAATATTTTTGACATCTGCTGGCTGACGTAATTCAATAAGAAAGGCAAGTATGTGTATGATTGTGTCAACAAATATAACTTAAGGATGGATTTTGAGAAAAGTTTCTCTGAACTTTCCTGTATCCTTTTCTTCCCTTGTTCTTACATCGGTGCTCTAGAATCTGGCTATTTTTCAATTTTGTCACTCGTTTTCTCCTGGCTCAATAGTTTGGCAACATTGGAGGGCTCAAAAACAGAAAAACAACTGATGCGATGACCTGGCTGAAATTCACTTATCGACAATACTGTTTTCCATGCCTCCCTTGCATGGGCAACTACAGGAATCAGGATTGTCAAGGTGAATTTCAAACCCGAGGAAAATAAAAGCATGTAGTCGGTTTCACGATAGAAATTGGCATAACCATGCGCCGAAGTTCCGACTTTGTCCTATGCCTTCCTCTAGAATGAGGGCACCATGGCCACTGGTGAAGCTNTAAATAAATACATAAATACGTAAATTTAGCATATTGGAGGCGTGAAGATTATTATCGAGGAGTTGCTGTTTGCACCAAAACCAAATGAGAACTTACGTTTTTGTCAATTCTGTGTCTATTCTGTCTTTCGATTTCGTTAGATAATGAGGATTTCCTCGATCCTCTACATAAACAGTACACAATTACCATTGTCAAAAGACATGAAAGCAAGTTCATCAGCATGTTGGAAAGGCCCCAATACGTTCGAAATACCTTAAAAAGAGTCTTAGGTGTGAAATATTCGAATAACCACAAATGGCAACGTACATCATTTGTGAAACAGCCAAATGAAGTGCAGTAAGGCATCGGTCGAATGGTTACTGTAACTTGGAGTACTATCCAATCGATAAATGCTAGAAGAATCGCAAAGACGAATGCTCCAATAGACCAACTGAAAATGGAATTTCCAGGAACCTTTTCTTGGATGATTGCTCGTAGTAACTATAGCTTAACTACTGACTTTACCCTAACTTCATCTTGACCACAAAACCTATCCTGGTTCGGAGCAAATCTGCGATCAAGTTACCTATTCGATTGGTGTAATGTCTGGATTTGATCCGAAGAATGCTCCTTGATTTCAAAGTATTGAAGCCCTTGGAGCAGCTGCCAAAGGTAGTGCATCAAATCCTGCAGCCCACTTTTCTCTTGATACCTGATAGGGACCACTGGTAACCTATGGGGCGGGCTGATGTAGTGTAGGTGTCAAATGACGCACTATTGAACACGCATGGTCTTAGGTTCGAATCCCGGACAGATGTCAGGCCAACTGAGCCTCCGAGTTCGATTAATTGGTACCGTCTGGGAAGATAAAAGCACTGACTTGTCGATCGGCTGGCCACCTCAAGTCGTTGTATGGGCCAAATACGCATTCATTACGCCAATACGATTTTCAACGAAGTTCAAAAGCGGGCAATATCCCTCATAAGGGCTTGGATAACGCCTGAAGGCGTGATAATTCTTGACACCTTATAACGCCTTTCCATTTCTACAAATTCAATTTCCTGGAAGTATAGGAAAACATGAAAGAAGTGTACAGAGTGACACTAATTGTTTTACCATATACAAAAACACTGTCTTAGAAAACGACTAGTGTCTCATAGCATTTACCAATTTCTTAACAATCACTGATCCCAAACATTCTTCCTTGTCTGGAAATTAGAACTCCCAAATGATATGATACCTATCTAATTGCTAGCTACTCCAGCAAGTTTTCAATTCAACCTATAATTTTTGGAATTGCCAGGTATACTGAGAAAATTGGCTTTTCTAAAAGTATGTACGATTTACTTCTGTTACATTTAGAAATTTTTTATGTGCTTCTGAAGGAAGGCTGGTCACATGCTTTTGTTAGAGCTCAGAGAAGTCTTCTTTCAGTCTCCAATTTCTGCGAGTACACGACGGAATGGAATGCCAAAGCCGGATTATCCAAGAATTTCTTATGAGATCTACTCGCTTCTTCTACGGTAACGTGACTATCCCTGCAATGGCTCTACAAAGAAGGAAGGGTAGAATGAAAATATTGGACTCCATAAGAAATTGTTGGCAAAATGCCAAATTGTTTCCTCAAGTTTTACAGAAGTGTAACGGAAATTAAACTTTAGACTCACTATCGCTTTGAGCGTTTGTAGTATTGCACCGGAAAGTATAACGCAAATACTCGATCAACAGCTATTGCAGTAGTAATCGTACATCCCGATTTCATCAAAGCTGCTGATGGCCCAGCAAGTGGAACGATTATCCATGGGTCGTAGTCTAGTGGGACGCCTGTAAATGTAGAACACTCATTATTTATTAACTTTTTGATTTTTCCTTTGCTCAGTTTAATTAGATTTATCAGGTTTTCCTCTAAAGGCTCAGTGCAATAATGGCGTGATGTCACTTCATCATTGGGTTTACTTTAAATTCTAGTCCCACTATGTAGGAGGAAACCTTCGTCTTTCCATTCTTTTGGGCCTGTTAATAGTACCAGATTAGGTATCAAAGTAGCAGTGTCTTGTGATCAATCTATACCATAGATCCGTATACGAAGGACTCCTATAGATGGGTAAGGGGCAGCTACAAGCTTTCTTAAAGAGTCAGTCTGATAGGTCTTATGAATTGTTCCTTATCCCAGGATAATCTGTATCATCTGACGATAGATTCGTATGATTTAGACAATTTCTGGATTCTACCCTGGGTGGGAACGCAACTGTTTTTGGATGACTTACCATCAGGTTTCGTCCCCGCAATCAGAATGATCAAGTAGGGAAACTGTAGCACGGCGTAGACAAAGTCAATGAATGCGAGTGAAACGAGAAGAATTAAGTTGTCGTTGCATAGGAGTCGCTTTGAAGTGCCCCAAGCAAGTAACACAATGAAGTTCGCAAGTATTTGAAGGACGCAAACGATCAACAGAAATACGTCAACATATAGACTAATACTATTAGTGATCATGTCGATTCAATCTGGGCCGATTGATTTCAGTTATAGAAGCGATGCCACTCCCACTTTTGGCTGAGAAACTGTTAAGGGGGGTTACTGATGGAGCAGTAACTATCGCTAGAACCATGGAGGCGGAGTCGAACCATATCAGCATACTCTGCAGTTTCATTTAGAACGCATAAACCTAAGGTATGACATCATAAGGGCTATGATGATCATAAAAGACGAGGATAAAGTCTTGGGGCGTTGATCAATCTCGTCTGAAGGATGCGCCCCGCATTCAACTTCCATTCAGAAATGTAGTGGCACAGTGAATGCGTATGTATGTGACCTACACAATAACTTGCGGTGGTCAACTGATGGACAAGTCAGTGCTTTTTCCTTCCTGACGAGTCTGTTACCAACTAACCGAACCCGGAAGGATGATTGGCTTGATTGGCCCCAACGAAATCGACTCGGTATTCGAACCCTGACCATGCGTGTGAGACAATAGGCCCTTGCAACTACACCACCTTCGCTTACTTGGCATAGGATTGGAAATACATAGGACTGGAGGACTGACTGACCTAATGACCTGTTAACGAAAATACTGATTTCATTCAGATTTTCCGCTTCCCTGCCTCGGTGTCCGCCTCAGATTTTCATCTGAGGTTTTTTGCTGAATTCAGAGGAAACGATCGTGGATATAGAAAACAAATGTATTTGTTGCTATCAATAACAAACCTTGCGTCCACACTTCCTCATCAGTCACCTGCACCTGCACCCAGTGTTCCAATAATTTTAAATGGCTCCGCAACGATATAACTCCATTTGCCGTCTCATTGTATTTCATATGTGGTGCATGAGGAATTGATCATTGTACTATGCTATAAGATACAAGATACCAAAGTCAGGTTAATCCTAACCTGTACTCAGACTTAAAGGCACACTTCGCGAAAATTTTGCGGTATCAGTTTTTAACGAATAATGTAAGTGATAATCCGCAATAGTGCAGAAATGTTGAAGAAAGCGCGGAAATTGGCTATTTAAAGGGATACGAGATTTCTAAAAACGTAAAGTCAGGGATTGGACGAGAATGTGACGACAAGAGTGGCATGGAAGAGAATTTGGACGAGTTGTCCAAATGTGTGTACTATTACGTACAGCTGGCTACAGTAAGCTGATTTCGTGCAGGGTGTGGTCTCGGTGCGAATAAAGTAACCTTTATAGCTTTTACAACGCTCAAAAACACATCCGTCTTGGATCTGTACGTCGACGAAGCCTGTTTTATGACCCTTTTACGCCCTATTTTGGCCGTTTTTCAACCCGACAGCGTCCCCTTAGCTATCCTTTGGATCTCAGAAAACATTTTGACCGTGAACTGTGCCTTTGATGAATCACTTGCCAGTTGCAGACAAAACAACCATTATGTCTAGCCATTTCAACCATGATTTCAACGAAATGAATGGCAAAAAACATTTTTTTATGCCAATAAGCAGACTTGCATTCATTCTAATATCTAATTAAATTTGCCCATTTCATCGTAACTGTAATTTATAGTCCTCACAATGTAATTTTTGCATAGTTGTTATTGCGGCACATTACTAATGAAACCTTTTGTTTCCATGACATTTCTCCGGAAAAAGTCGAGCCGTAGGCGTGCAGAAGGAAAAACCCAGACAATCCAGTTAATGGATTAACAAACTTTTACAGAAAGTATATTCACCTTAGTATTTGCAGCGATTGTCTACCGTTGTTACTTACCCACCTGCTAATGGACGACTGTACCTCACCCTTATTAGAGCCGGTCATGATCATTGGTGCTTTTGTTCCTCTAGTAGTGATCAAGCCAACGAAACAGTCGTGGCTGTTGTTGCAAACCAGGACAGTCAGGACAACGGAATGGCGAAGGGATTTCTAGAATAATCGTAATGTTTGGTCTACATGGACGGAGGTGGTGTAGTGGCAAGTGGCCCCCTATCACATAAGCATGGTTTCAGGTTCCAATCCCGGATCTACATCCGCCTAAGCCAACTAAGTTTTCCATCCTTCTGGTTGGGGTCCAATCAATAAGCCGTTACGATTCCGAATAGCAATCGAATGCGAGGCGCACCCCTCAGACCCGTTTAGTGAACGCCCAAAAGCTTATGCTTTGTTATTTATGGTCTTCATAGGCCCCACGTTGCATATGCGTGTGAGCGACCTTTGTAAGTCCACAAGTCATTCGCGTCCTGGAAGGAACACGCCAAGAATAGAAGACATTCTCTATCAGGTCATCAAATTAATTAATGTAAAGCAGGGAAAGACTTTCAAATAAGTTAATTAATTTAATAAAAGGCATAAATGCGGAGACAACAGTGTCTGTCTCCCAATCCCCATAATCATAGGACACGTGTCCTCCCGCGACATCTTGACAGCTTGAATTGAGCGTGCAATGTCTGGACTGGCTAGCTTATAGCTAGTTTTACGCACTGATTACACAGTGACTAATCGCTTTCAGAGGCATAAATTAAAGTAAATTTGAGATATCTAATTTTAGATGAATAAGTGTGTGTGATGTAAAGGAGAGTGCAAATGCAGCGAAGAGAGCGCAAAACTCGCCAAATTCGGTGAATCGTAAGACTCCAGAGAAGGGTGAAATAAGGGACTGGAGGCATGGAGGACGTGTTTGGACGAGCAGTCTAGATGTGTGCGTGATAACTCGTCCGCCTTGGGGTGTGTACGTCGGCTAAGCCGATTTGGGGTCATTATTAAGATGTATTTAAGCGGTTTTCCGACTCGACAGCGTACTTGTTGCTATTCTTGGTGGTCACAAGTTCATTCAGAAAGAAGTTTCGGAGATCATTTCTATGATGAACAATGCTTTTAAGGCAACGTTTCTTGTATGCGAGTCATTTTTGGTTACTAAAGCAAGAACTAAGCCTATATAGGTTCTGTATCACATCATGAACAGAAAGAAATCGAAAATGCCTTAGTCGATTGTAAAGATGAAGGTCAGAGATACGTGTTTCTGACTGCTGCATTCGGTGTTGCCGATTCTGACAGAGATCCCAAGAAACATTTGTTAACACCTATTGAAGTGCTTCTGCTTGCCTTTATAATGCCTTCCTAGGATTTTATTCTATTCCTGGTGAAAAACAAAGTGTAATTTTTAAAATACTTGACAACATCCTGTTGACCTTTATAAAGGGTATACGCAAGTGCACGTAAAGTTCAAACATAAGTATAAGCAACTGTCATTAACTAAAAGACTTCACCGTGTTTTCCTGATTTTCCTATAGTTCTTGCGAGTCCTTTATCTAGAATTTCCCACTCCTGTAAAGTTTCTCGATACCTGCATACGCTTTGCCATCAGCTCTGTTTTATGAAGCACATTTGAAAGTGCTGCATCGAAGTCATTTATAATTTTCATGACAAAAAAACCCGATGGTTCGAGCCTGGAACGTCCGCCTTGAGATACTCCGAAATCCGTTTATATGGACAAAGCATAATCTTATTCTCCCACATCTCGAACCACTTTTTTTTCTGTGAGAGTCCACTGAAAGCCTCAATAATGTTCATGTAAATGGTGACAGAGGATAGTTATCGCTGGGAATAGGTTCACAAAATGACTCCTTTTAGGAAGAGTTGGGTGGGAGGATGTAGTGTTTCAGCTCCTGGGTACTGTAGACACATGGGTAGTGCCTGATGTAGACAAAAGCAAGGGAATTGCAGATGGCGCTTGCTCTTGTGTAATACAAAATGTCGCGAAGGTAAAAATTTAAGGAGATGAACCATATCACCTTCAATTAGGTCATATAGAGTAGAAGCAGATAAAAGAGGAAATTACTGTAGGCTTCATGGCAGGATAGCTCAATTCAGGTAATGCTTTTGCCATCTTTTTAGAAGGTGCTGATAAAGTGATTAGCTAACTATTAGCTGTACCCAGAAGTGATCTCTTAATTATTGGAATTCCAGCACCGCCTTGTTTAAGCATTTAAAAACATCGAACGTAAGCGCTTGTTATAATTTTGCTTTTCGCATATTGATGAAGCCTTTGGGACCGTTCTAGCTGCTTTGTCGCAATGTTACAGCAGAGGTCTCTGAAAATGAACGGATTAACTAAGGAATTTCTCCAATGAAAACAAAATCTTAGGAATGTTGCAAAATACTAAGAAAAACTCAGTGAACCGAGTGGGTGTAATTTTAAGTGGCGCACACTATAAAATGAGTGATTTGGGAACAGGAGTTCCGAAAGATACCCCCTTGCTTTTGATCCTCCTTTCCTTCGGAAGTCGGGTGACTGGTATCAGAGTCGTCTGGGATCCTAAAAGCACTGACTTGTGCATTGGCTGGCCACCGCACTCAATGTATTATGTATGTATGTAATACGTATAGGGAACACGCAATCAGGCCACAATGATTATAAATGGAAGTCGAATGCGGTGCGTATCCC